AATATCCTTCCAGTTCATGGTTTGAGATTTCTAAATATATCTGGATTTATGTGTTTTAAATATTTACATAAATGGTATTATGCCGTGCAGACATTATTTTTTTACGTAATAGTGTGCTTTTCAATATCCACGAATATTGACACATTCAATATTCATTTATCCATGTTAATATACAAAAATAAGAGTTCATACTACATATTAATTAGTTGCATCTTATGAATTATCTGACCACACAACTCACTTCCCTACTAATGAACGTGCAGACTGTTTCCAAATTCCTGATCATTTTGCAAGGAGCCGCTTCGTACACATAATCTGTGGAGCCGTGCTCTGCACTTCCTGCCCGGCATCACCCCCTTTTCACAAGAGCGCTATGGACGGCATGCCCATCAGAGGGGCTCTTTAAGATCTGCAGAATTTCAGAGCTGAGCTGTGCGTGAGGAACTGGACTGTGACCGACATCTAGTGGCAGAAGCATGTAGATGTGGTGGCTCTTGACACACTAAAACCAGGGGCCATATTAGGCACCGGGTTGGAATCCAACATTAGCTTGAAAGCAAAGGGTCCTGGCTTCTGCCACTGGGCCCTGCAGTAGACTTATTCCCCAAAGCCTGACTAAGCACCCACACATTATAGATTACGAACTCTGGTGATCTCTGGGGACTGAACATAAGGATTTAGAGAAAGCAGTCATGCTATTTAAACTTCTGTTTGCCTGTGAATGTTTCCTTCTCCCCATCTTCTATTGTCTGAGGTTCTTCTGCCCTGAGATTTGATGCAGAGACATAGGGTCTCCCCAGATCCTCTTCCTCAATGTCTCAAAATCTAGACTTTCCCAAGGCTGTTGAAATTGTCATCACTTTGCACCCTTAGGAGACAGTACTGAGCAGAACACTGCCTCCTTTGGAGGGTCACTGACCTCTCTCCTCTCCTCCAACCAGATTTAGGCAAGGCCAGTTACACTGCTTTCTGCTGAGAGCCCCTTCTCTCACTAGAAGACACACTCCAGGCTGAATAATAGAGGATGAAATGGGTGGTCTTTGCTTCTGAGGCTTGCAGACTGGGCTCTCCCAGGCCTATGCAGGAATAACCCCCTTGGGTCATTTCTGTCCTAGAAGCGGAGCAATGACTTCTGCAAGATGTACACGTACCCACATGTATAGCCCCTCCATTCCACATTGGCACAAAGCCTCTATCACTTCAACTTAGATATCAGGGGTTAAATTATAACCCCAGTGCACAAGACATGCCTCACCAGCAATTTAATTTGATACCCACATCACTGTCCTCCACACCCCGACAACCTCCTGTGCCTGGCATATTGCACCAAAAGGAAAGAAAAAAAAACCCTTCCCCATCTCTAGGCCAGCTAGAATCTGTGTATGAGAAATGTGAACTCAATTTCCAATTCGCCTTGGCTCAATTTAATTAGGATGATAAATTGGATATTGGAGTTTAAAGTACAACTTGAGGTCTAGTCTCTTGTAAAACATATATATATTTTTTTCATTTCTAACCATCCCTGAGTAATTTCTCATTCCACATTCCTGAATTTAGTTCATTACTCAAACAATAATAATGGAAACCCCAGAGATACCACCCCTCCCTTCCTGCTTTTATCTTTGTGATTCCTGATAGATCCTCATGATTGTCCAAGAGGTCACTGGAGGAGAAAACAGAGAAGCTGAGGGCTTAAGCTCAGGGGCCTGGGCATGAAGCCCTTGTCCCCTCCAGGGGACTTTGAAGACTTACCAAAGCCTACAGGCAGCGCTATTTTCCAGGAGCAATCCATGTTACTGGGGTAGTTGCCTGGGAAGCCCGGGCTTAGGATCACCCCCTCCATCTCCTCCACTGTTCCCCCACACTGCGCTGTGACAATGACACAAGATGGGTTAGGACAACATCAAGGTGGGTACAGGGCCGCGCCAACATTTGGAAGCTCCCTGACAGCTGCAGATTTTAACTTTTCATGAGTCATAAATATCTCTTCAAGAATCCAGAGGAATCCCTTAAAAAAAACTGCACATGTGGGCAAAATTGAGTATGTAGATTCAGGAAGGGAAGCGAATCCTATGAACCCAAGTTATGGACTCGTGACCTTGAGCATACCCTTCATAAGTCCGTCCCCTTAGTGAGGACTCACAGGAGAAGTGAAAGTGGTCTGGGCCAAGTCTGACCATTTATTACACCATCCCCTAAGGCTCCCTCTCTTCGTGGCCTAACCCACTCTCCCAAGACAGCAGAAAGGAGAAGAAGGAAGGGGCCTGGCATGTATCACCTTCCCACTCTGGGCCAGGGACTGTGCCAGGCTCTTTACAAATACATTATACCAGGCAAGGTGGCAGGGTGAGACCCACCACAAGCCCCTCGCAGAAAAGTGACCGTGATGAACATTCCACAGGAATGAACCATGAGAGAGACCTGAGGGTTTGAGAACATCTGACATGCCCATCAAGGGTCATGATTTCAAGGTCATCCGAAGATGCAGGGGCATCAATGTGGCCTGGTCAGTTGGCATCAACTCTAAAGAGGTTGTGTGAGTAGGAAGAGGTCAGCCAGCCACAGAGGCCCAGAGGAGAGAGAGAAGGATTGGCAGGTCCAGGCAAGTGCTTTCTAAGGAGAGGGAGGCTCGGCAAATGGACCAGAAAACAGTGCAGAGCAGGCTCTGGACTTGACCGCCTGGGTCACAGTCCCACCTTCACTTCCTATGGGACCTGGCACAAGTTCTAAACCCCTCCAAACCTCAGTTTTCCCCATCTGTAGGATAGAACTTTCCACAGCACTAATGGGATTGTCGTGGAGGGACCGTGCTTCACATGGGCTAGGGCCGGTTCCTGTGGTGAACACTCAGAGTGAACAGCAACTGCTGTTAAAGTGAATGGCTTCCTCGCCAAGATCTCGGTCATATGATGGGGGAAAGTGCCTTGTACTGATTGCTCACATTTCTGACCTGCTCTGGACATGACCAGGGCTGTACCCTGGTGAAATCACGGAAGGAAAAGGCCATTGTGCCCAAGTGACATTCCCTCGCCTCCCCTCACTTCCTACTGTAAGGTCCGCCTGGGAAGGGGGACCTTACAGTCACTTGGGCACTAGAGAACCTGAGGTTTCTGTTCCTGACTCTGCCACTTTCTTTTTAATCCTGAAAGGTTTAGGTTTCTTGTTTGTCAAGTACAGGTAATTGATGCTGCTGAGGAAATCTGAGGAAACATGGAGCCGTGCCGAGCACAGAGGACACGCTCACCAAACGTTCATCTGCCTTGTCTGCCCCCATCAGAAGCTCCAAAGAAGGAGAACTTGTCTTGCACCTGCTGATCTCCTCCTCATTGCTTTAGCACAGGGTAAGAAACAAAACCGAGCTACACCCTTGTTTCACAGGTCACTCTTGATATCTATTAGCAGATTTATTGTCGGTGGCACAACAAAGTCATCGAGATAAGCCCAGAATGCCCACAAGTTACACTCGGGGTCAGGAGATAAGCTCATGGGGAATCAGAACGGTCATTTGTTTCATTTTGTAATTTTGTGTTTGGTGGGTAGAGGTTTCCAAAAGTCACGGCAGCCCTACATGAGAGTTGGAGATCATACAAACATCAGTTTAAAACTGTTGACTTGGGACAAATCTGGAATAAGAAATATTCTTCTGGTTTGAATTTGAACTCGATGATATGCCCCTGAACTCAAATTCCTGGGAGGAAATGGATTTGAGTGAACTGTGAAGTCTGAGCTCTCTTACCAATACAGAGAGGAGGAGGGTAGTTCCATCGCCGCACGGTTCCGGGCATGCAGGAGATGTGGGCGTGTCCCTAGAGGAATCAGAAACAGGTGTGGGTTGCTGCCCCCCACCACATGTACAACCAGAAGGGGGCCAGGCTTGCTCAGGGGCTCGCGCTAAGGAACAGGGCATGCAAAGACACACAGACCCACTGTGGGATGGGGGCAAGACAGAGGGAGAGAGATTTTGGGGAAAGCCAATTATTAACAACCATTACTAAAGAATTCTCATTACTAGAGCTTTCCTTGTGAGACTCCTTTAATTACTAAATTCTCTGATGGCCTTCAAAGAGAAATTAAATTTTCTGAAAGCCGAATCAAACCCAACTTTGCAGGAACACATTGGAGGCCGGCTTGTGCCAAATTGTTAGTCAGCGGAGTTTGTCTTTTGCGTGAACATCTCAGGAGGGAATAATGGTCCCCAGGAGAACTGGTGGCTGCTCCCTGTTCTTTGGTGACTGTATTGTGCTGGTGCAAGGCTGACCAACCACACATCTCAGGGGATGCCTGTTCCCTGTCCTGGGTATCAAAGGGAGGTACCTGGAGGACGTATCCTGGCTCACACTGGAAAGAGACCACGTCGTTCACCAAGTAGCGCTCACCCGTCTTCACCCCATTACTGGGCACAGCGGGTTCTGGACAACTGCTCAGGCCCACCGCTAGATAAGACAGAGACAGTCGGAAAGGAGAATGGGCCAGCTCAGCAGATCAGTGAGACAGTGGGCTGGGAGATGCTGGCCGCAGGAGAAGCAGGGCCTCTCACGGCCGTCTGGCCTAGTGCTCCCTAGCCCTCTTGAGAAATGCAATGTTCACGTGGCACAGAGGCTTAACAGGCCAAAGGTGTCATAGGTGTCACCCTATGGACTCTGGGTGCCCTGCTCACCCACAGAACTCCAAGCTAGGGAGCTCCCCAGTCCTGTAAACCCTAAGACCTCTCTGCATGGGCTCCTGCCTCCTGCTCCTAACTTCCCTCTGTCTTCCTTACCCTAAAGGGACGGTTCTGGAGGGCTGAGACATGGGGAGAGGCAGAGGAAAGGTGAGAGGGAAGGAGAGCAGTTATCATGGAGGGCATCTCAGCAATGCTCGGGGCTCAGTTAGAGCCTCATACTCTGGGGCAGAAATGTTCTGAGGGATACTTGCTCGTGGTGAAGACTCTCCATTGCTTTATTTCTCCCCTTGTGTTTTCCAGGTCAAGCTAGCCCCTTTCTGGGAGCATCAGTGGTGGCCACTCACACTGTGCCTGCCACTGTCAGCTCTGGCCTCACTTAACACCAGCCCCTGTAACAGGCCCCTTCTCATCACTACCCAAAGCCACTGCTATTCTAGATCATCCTGAACTCATAGGCAACTTGCGCTTCTTAAAGCGCAATCTTTGACTCATGGGGCTTACTTGCTCAGCAATGTGAAGTAGGTCCCATGGCCTGTTATACAGAATCCAACCTTCTCACCCTGACACCTGGGACCTTCACCATCTTGGCCTGGTCCCTTTGCAAGATCACCTCCGTGGACTCTCAGTGCTCCTCATCTACTCCTCTTTATGTCTCTTCAAATTCAACCACATTCATTTATTTCTTATTCTATACCCGGCACAGTACACAAAGCTTCCTTCATGAGAGCAGCCCCCCGATCTACCTCCTCCACGTGCTACCTGCCTGCCCACACCATCATCACAGGAGCCACACTTCCCATGAGCAGGGTGGGGGCCAGTGAGCCACATATGTCCCTTCGTACCCTTCAAGCAGGTCTTGACATCCCATTTTACAGATGGGGACACAGGCTGAGAGAGGCCCAGAGACATGTCCCTAGTTCAGACGCAGCCCAGCCTGAACCCAGGTCTGCCCAAGCCTGAGGCCACATGAGCTCTCCTGCCCCTAGTCTGCTCCTCACCCCTTCCTGCTGCCTCCCACACAGCAGGCAGGAGTGTAGCATTTCCCAGCTGGGGGCTTCCTGCCTCCCGTGTGCCTCATAGGAGCCCACCTGCAGGTGCAGGCGCTTCAGGTGCACTAAGTAAACTTCTGTGTGTTCTGGACTGCACTTGCAGGGCACCTCTCTAGGGGTGAGGGCTGGAAGACTTGGGCCAGGCAAAGGATAGCTGCAAACTGAATTCTCCAACTCTCAAGTGATCCTCCTTATCACAGCTGCCAGGAAGGAGAGGAGGGCAGAGAGTTTGGGTCTGACCCTGGGCATTAGCATGGTCCAGAGAGCTTCGGAGATAACAGCTCCAGCCTCCCTGGTGGTTCCTTTGGGGAACACAGGCTTCCTGAGAAATCCACGTGTACTCAGTGCCTTCAGGGAGCCAGGGGCTCGGGGAAAAAGAACAGGGCAGGATGAGTTAGGCAAGGCTTCAAGCCCCCAGCCTACCTTCTTATGTAGCAGGTGATGGGTCTTTATGCCATACTGAGATGAGACTCTGACAACTACCTGTGCTTTTGTTTCCCTCTGAGGGAAATTTACATATAGTGAAATGCACCAATCTTACACGTCCATGTTGCAATTGACATAATTATGAGTTTTGAGCTTACACAGTATAACCCAAGCCCCTGTCAACACTGCTGAACATTGTAGTCACCTAGACATTCCCTCGTGCTCTTCCCAGGCGGTTTCCGTCCTGCATGTGTTTTTAAGACATGGATGTGATCTTTGGAAATGAAGTCTCTTTGGACCTATCTCCTAAAGTCTCAGCAGCTGACACAGAAGACTCCAAAGACAAGCATTAAAACAATCATCAAATGAATTTGGAGGACCTAGTCTTGCCATCTTGTCTCTGTCTCCCTTGCACGCCAACTTAGTATGTAGGGGGAGGTCACAACTTAGCGACTCAAGACCCACTTGCTGGAAAGGGAGAGATGGACAGAAGAGGCGGCAGAGAGAGAGCAAGAGACACAGCGAGGACAAAAGAATGTGGCAGGAGGAAAAATGAAATGGGGAGAAAGAGGAGGCCAGAGAGAGAACAAAGGAGGGGGATGGAGAAAAGCCCATCCTAATTTCCCTGACACTGCACAGCTTGATTTTATTGAAGCCATGCTACAACAAAGGAAAAAAAAAATTTTATCATATGTAATTTATTACTTTTGAAAGCATATTGCTCCATTTCCATTTCAATTAAATAAACATTAAATATGAATCACAGCCATAGATGTGACTTTTCAGTACCCTTCAAAACCATTTGCCTCTGCACTAGCAGTTAACTCTCCATCCTCTGTGCCCTCTTTGTAGACTATCTTACAAAACAAAATATCACTACAGGGTCCTGGCCCCTAGGAATTCCAATCTCCAGATACCAGTGAGGACCTGTTTTTCCCCAGCTCTTCCTCCCATGAGCGGATACTGTAAGGGACGTGTCAGCTACTGAGAAAACTGCCAGTTCCCTGGGACCAAGAAAACTGAGAAGAGGTAGATTCTTTCTGGCATGAGGCAGGAGAATGACAAAGCAATTTAGGAAGGAAATGTACCTTTGGAAGAAGAAAGAACAGAAAAGATTCTAAGGAGCATTTAAGGACTCAAAATATTGGCTAGATTAACAAAACTAGGAGAAACAAGGGAGGAGAGGATAAGAGGAAAAATGTGACTTATTTGAGAAACCCAGGGTACTTTACCAGGTGTGTGAAGCTTTAGACATCTGCAGGGAGGAGTCTCAGAGGCCCCTGTCCTACGCTTTACCCCTCAGGAGCTTTGCTTCTAGCTGTCCTGGGTCTTTCCTGCCAGGTGGACATGTCAGTTCTTTCAGGTGATGAGCTTCCTGGGATCCAGCTAATCCTCTCCTAAGCATCCAGGTAAAGGACACCCAGATGGTGCTGTCCTGATCAGGCACCTAGCACCAGCTGGGCCTTCCATCTGCACAGGCCCATACTGTCACAGGGGGTCAAGCCAGCCATGCCTTCCTGAATTTCTTACTTCTCATTCCAAACCTAACTAAGCCATCTGCTTCTGTAAGGCCTTACCCTCCCAGGTTACAATCGATGTCTATCTTTCCTCCTGGACACTGTGCTTTTGAAGGCAGGGACTTAGTCTTATTCATTGTTTTGTGGACACCTAATGCAAGGCTTGGCACAGTGCAGGTTCTCAATGTTTCTTCAAGACATTTCTATCTCCACCTGCCCCAGATAGAAGTGACCACTCTCTCCTCTGAACCACTGCTGTACCATCTAGAGACATCCATGGGAGCACCTGTAATGCTGCAATGCCCTTGTCTGGTTATGTGTCTGTTTCTTTCTAGTGGACTCTCAGGGGACTGATCTATTTCAATAATACCCAATCCTGGCAAACCCAGCATGATACCCGGTCACGTTGTAAATGCTCCATGAGTATTTGCTGGACGAGTGTGGGATGAATGCTACTGTTGGCCTATTTCTTCCCATACCCAGTGGGGCAAGGGGATGGGGCAGGCAGTCCCAGGATGCAAGTAGTCTCCCCACAAACCTCTTTCTTTGTTCCCCAGAAGACACATCCGCAACTTTTCTGTTAAGAGTATTTAGTTGTGAGCACTTAGGGATGCTGGAAGCCAGGATGTAAAGGTTAAGGCTTGCAGGGAGAAATCTGGTAGAAGAGGAGTGAAGTATCCAATGAGGGGAGGAACTTCAAAGATAACTGCATCACAGAACTAGAGGTTAGAGAGGCCAATGTTTAGGATTGAGGGAGGAACGCCCCTCCATCTCCTTATATCCTAAATTGTATACAGGGGCCTAGGCCAGTGACCAAGTTCCCTTCCCATTCTCGGGGTGGACACTGAGTAAGGCATAGGTTTCTGAGTAACAGACATGTGGGTGATAACCCAGCACTGCTGTGCAGCCTTGAGGAGGTTTCAGACCTTCTCTGGGCTTTAGCATCCTCTTCTGGTCCATGATTAGGCTTACATGGGATGGAGAATATACAGGCCCAATATATATTAGCTCAGAGCGGGCACTCAGTAACTTTTAGTTCTACCCTGAACACTGTACACAGCTGAGACCCCAGGTTCTCACTTTTGTATTCCAGGTGGAAGCCAGCTGCAGACACGCTGATGTCTGAGTAGAAGTGAAGGTAGAGCTGGTTGGAGGTGCTGTTCAGAAGGGCAGGCACAGTTGTTCCTAGGACAAGGACACCAGCATCATTGAGATTTGGCTTCTCCCGGTCCCCACACTCCTCCCCAGTGCTCTGGCTTTTTACTGACGTTCCACTTGCAATGCTCCCAAAGTCCCCAATTATCAAACCCACTAAATGACAAATTAGACCCCTCAGGGGGCTAAGTCTCCAATGGCCAAGGGAGGAGAGACCTCCCCAAACCACTTTCCACAAGATGAGCAGTGCAGAGCTGTATGCCTGCAGGAGGCCTCTGAGTTTGGTCCCCTCCCCGCCATCTTCAGAAAGAACCTGGCATGCATGATTTTCTGGACCATCCAGTATGGAAAGTTTTTCTGGGGCACATGACTTTTCTTTATATCTTGGCAGCCTAGAGTTCTGGGCCTAAAAGACTCAGATAATTGCCCAGGCCATTGGGCAAAAGCATGTGCCATGTTCCATCAGAAGTCCATCCACCACTGGAATGAAAAATAGTGCATCCACTTTGGAGAACGGTTTGGTGGTTCTTCAAAAAGTTAAACATAGAGTTACAATATGACCCAGCAAGCCCATTCCTCCTGTGTAAGCACATGCTCACACAAAAACTGATACATGGATATTCATGTAAGGAACATTCATCATAATAGCAAGAAAATGGAAATGGCCCATCAATGGATAAATGGATAAAAAAAGCATGGTATATCCATGTAACAAAGTGCTGATGCACACTACAACTTGGTGGACTTTGAAAACATTGTGCTAAGTGGCAGAAGCCGAATACAGAAGCTTATGTATTATATGATTCCATCTATATGAAATGCCTGAAATAGGCAAATCCAGAGAGGGAAAGCAGGTTAGTGGTTACTGGAGGCTGGGCTTGGGGGCAGGTGAGGTGGAGAGTGAGGGTAATGTGTGCCTGGTTTCATAAAAAATGCTCTGGGATTAGACAGCAGGAAGTGTTGTAGAACCCGGTGAATATACCCAAACCACTCAAGTGTGCACTTGAAAATGGTGACTGTTATGGTATGTGAATATATCACAGTGATGATGACAATAGCATCTCCCACTGCCCTCCAGATTGGAAGCCCTCCTTACCTGAGAAACTCCCCAGCATGGTTACAGTGTTATCTGCACCGTCAAACACTTCTAGGGAGTCCCAGTTCTGCTCTGTGACAAAACTGATGACCTGAATCTGGGGAGGCAGAAGGATTGTCCTGCTAGTTAGGCAGCCTCTGTCCCTTCCTTCCTCTCTGCCACCCATCCCTCTCTCCTCCATTCCACAGTTCCACAGTTAATCCAACTTGGTGAGCACCTGCTCTGTGCTAGGCCCTTCCAGCAACGTTAAGCAGCAGCCCTTAATCCAAGGAGCTCCCTCTCTGGTGGGGAAGGCGGATGACTAAATGATTACAGGACGGCAGGAAAATTCACGAGGTGGACAATGGGGGAAAGAAATTCTAGGAAGTGGGACTAGCCTTCTCCTCATTTCTGGAACATTCTTTGGGCTTCCCTACTTTGCTGCCCTGATTGCCTCAGACATCCCACATCAGTGAGCAGTGGCCCACTCCCACCCAAGTCGGTCAGCTCAGGTCCTGACTTGCTGCCTCTCTGCTGGCTTTGCAGCCCCTTGACCTTCTCCCTGCCTCAGCACCCAGGCCAGGGCCTCCTTCCACTGAGGTCCTCTTACTGGGCACCACCTATGCCCCAATTCAGCTTCCCCAGCTTGAGCTACAGGTGTGGTGCCCTGAGTATGTGCCCCAGTGTGGACTTGTGCTTGGCCCCTCATCAGCAATGCCCCCCACAATCTTAAGAAAAAATCCTCAAGCCATCTATGAGTTTCCCCTAATCTTCAGATCCCCGCTCTAGACCCATTACCCTTCCCCACTGGCTGGAGCCAATGCCCATCTCCCCTTCCTCAGTTCCCTCACTCCTCATGCCCTGAGGCCCCTGTGGCCCAGGAACTATCGTGTTTTTTTCATTTGTGGGCCACGTCTCTACACTTGGACAGAGTCTCCTTAGCTGCAAGGGCAGGGGACAGGGGACAGGGGATAGGCTGTGTCTCCTCCTGGCTCACCTGGCTTAAGGCTTGGTGATAGCCGGCACCTGTGGGTGAACACCTGCCCCATCAAGGTACTTCCTTCCCCCCTACCTGGATGCCAGCGCCTTCAGGGACCATGATCTTCCACACACAGTTGAGGCTGTTGAGGTATGGCTCCGGGAAACCAGGGGACAGGATGGTGCCCCGGCGCTCTGTGAGATTGCCACCACATGGCACTGGGAGAGAGGCAGCTCTGGTCAGGGCTCACCAACCAGCCTGCTTCTTTAGGCCCCACCTCTGCTGTGACTCCTGCCCATGGGGCTTCTTCCTTTGTGCCCCAGTCCCACCTTCTCATTCTGTTTTTCACCTGCTGTGTGACTTTTTCACACGAGACCGCCGTTAGGGACCCGGCCCTCAGCTCCTTCTTTCACATGCATCCCTGCCCGCGAACCTCTGGGTGTCTTCACACCCCACCGCAGGATGAGGGATGTGGCCCAGATGGGACTTAAGGTAGCTGGTGAGAAGGTGCTGCTGTGTGTCTTGGGGCATCTGCTGGGACTTGCTCCATCCCTCAGAAAATAGAGAGGACTATTTTCTGGTCCCTTCACCCTCTCTCCAGCCCTGGCTTCCCAGGCACTCACCCACACACGTGGGAGCTGAGACGTTCCACTGGGCCAAAGCCCCAGGTACAGGAAGGCACTCAATTTCTGGGGACCCCTGCAGCGCATAGCCCGAGTTGCATTCGAAGCGGACGATGGCCCCTACCGAGAAGTCACTGCCCAGCCTCTTGCCATAGCGGGGTTCTGGCACCGAGCTGCACTGCGTGGCGCTGGTTCGCGGTACAGCTGCAGGGGACAGGGGCATTGAGGGGTGGGCCTCGCCCCTCTACAAACTGGCCCAGGGATGGACACACATGAGACTGAAACAAAGACAGCCTAGATGGGACCTGGAGAGGTTATACTGATATGTAATTGGACACACCGTGTGACAGCACAACTTCCGGAGACCACGGGAGGCAGTGTGCACCCTGGGTCCGGTTTTGTTCTTGGCCTTCCCAGTGCTGCTCCTCAGTGATCAGGGTCCCACGTTCCCTGAGGAGGAGAGCCAATGGGACTTCCTCCTCCAATTTCAGTGTCTTCACCCTGCCTTTGGGAAGCTCCCACCTACCATGCACCTTAGGAGCCTGCTGGGACCCTGGCTTCCATGACCTTAATCTTATCTCTCCCATCCACTGTGGTGGCTGGGACCCTTGAACTTGGCCACAGGGATGGCATTCCCCTATAACAGGCCTACCTCTGCACCTATAGGAGGACTGCCCATGTAACTATGGGAGGACTGCCCCTTCACCTGTGGGAGGACTGCCCCTTCACCTGTGGGAGGACTGCCCCTGCAACTGTGGGAGGACTGCCCCTGCACTTGTGGGAGGACTGCCCCTTCACCTGTGGGAGGACTGCCCCTTCACCTGTGGGAGGACTGCCCTTGTACCTGTGGGAGGA